TTGTTGTCAGGTTTAAGACTACTTTGTATATTAAAATGTAATAGGAAAAACATTTTAGATTATGAAAAAATTTGCTTTTTATTAAAAATGCTTTAAAAAATAGAAATATAATAATTCCTCTGTTGTGCCATTATCTCTACTCATCACATTTATAATTCATTATAAATTTAAGAAATTTCAACATTAATTCATTTATTCAATTTTAAATGATTGATTAAAAAAATTTTAGCACAAAATTATTTATGTTGACTTTAATCTTATTCTGAAATTTTTAATTTACACAAGAGTTGTTATATAATTATTAAAAATTATAAAAACTGTAAAATTATAGAATTTTTGTTTTTTCTAGATGGCTTCACTTGCTGGAAGTAATTGGCATAAGCCACTTGCAATTATACCCTGTCTTTCTTGGACAACTGCTTCTTGTGTTTTCACTCAGGTAAATAATTATTATTGAAAAAATTAAATGCAAATCTTAATAACTAGTAACTAGCATTATTTTAAAGAAAAATTTTAAATGTTTTATGAATGATATGCTATTTTTAAATTTCATATTTTATAACTTATCTTAAGGAGAATATATAGATTATGCTGTTTTTAACATATATATTCAATTTACCTAGAAATAATCAAATAAAATATAATTGCTATAGAGAAGAAACAGATATTTTAAGTAAAACTTATTTAAAATGATTTAAGAAAGTATTTTTATTATTCATTTACCAATTCCTTAAGGTCTCATTCTTAGTTTTCTTCTCAACATTTCAATAAATTTTTGCATGCAATCATCTGCTTATTGAAGATCAAATGAATAACTTATTTTTTATAATTCTTATATTATAACTTCTTGAAATACTGTATAAATATATATAAAGCAAATACTTTTTAAAAACTAGGGTGTAATGAGTGGTGCAATTCCTTGGAGTTTATTACAGAGTCAGTATTTTTCTGATCAAGTTTATAAAGATGAAATTTGGAATTTGATTCATTCTCCAGAAGAGGTATTTTCAGATTCAATTTTTAAGTTATGCTGTGTGATATATATATATAAAATTGTATTATTTAGAAATCAACTTAATATAGTAACTAGTAACATTAAATAAATTTTTTTCTGATGTAATTATCTAGAAATTCCCATTTCATACGAAAACAGATCAAATGATCATTTGTAGTTGAATTTCATTTAGTAGACTGCTTTACTTTATTAAAGAAATTTGTTTTTTAAAATAAAATTACTATATTAATCTTCTCAGTACAATAAAAATGACGTGTTTGGGTGTAAAAGATGGCAAGTACCATAATAAAAGTTTAAGAGAAAATGCAAAAATTTAAATGTCTTAAGAAGTTTTCTTGTTTGTTTTCTTCATTCTGATTAAGGTGCATGTTATAATTTAAAAAGTATAATTTGAAATATATTATAATGTGCTAACAGCTAACAAGAATGTACTAATGGAAATGGCAATTACCATATTTTATACCCAAACTTTTCAAACATATTTTTTATTAAAAAAATATTGAAACATTATTTTTCAGATGTTTGGAACTCTTTAATTAACTCTATTAATCTAGTAACATAAGTATGTGCACCTTTAAAACTGTTCGTTTTTGAAGTTTTTACAGAAAAATAATTTGGATATTTGAAAATAATTTTTTAACCATTCTAAATTAACTTTGGTAACATTCTAAATAAATGAAATAAAATATACAGTATTACAATATTACAGTAAATTTTTATGAAAAATTAAATTAACACCAAGAAATTACTCTTGCCTTATTGAAACTTTTACATAGTTAACCAATATTATAAAAATAGCTTCACCTGACAGATTTTTAGACTTTTACTATTATAAAATATTAAAAAGTTCTCTCTTTCTGTTCTATTTCAAGAATGAAATAAAATGTCTAATAATCCTTACAAACATTTCTAGCTTTTATAATTTTAAGTGTCTTTATTGTAATTTTTCTATATATTTTCTCTTTTGAATTTTTTTGTTAAACATATTAATATTGTATAAATATCTGGTAGATTTTTTGAAAAATTGCAAATTTTTTGCACTTTTGTTTTCTAGCTTATTGACAAGACTGTCTTGTTTATAAAATCGTACTGCCAAATTTTCTTACCAGCGTAGAGGTATGAAGGAGTACATATCGAGAGTTGATATTTGGCACAGAGTATTAGGTGCCCAAATCATTTGCGCATAAAAAAATCCAGACTCATAGGTAGTCAGGGGACCGAGAATAGAGTCAAAATAAAATAGAAAATGGTGACCCTCTTCTACAAACAGGCAAAATAGGCACCTCACCCCACCAAAGTCAGGTAGGGGAGAGTACCAACCACAGTCATTCTAAGAAGTGAACTCTGACCTTAGGACTGAACACATAGTTTGTTTTATGTTAAATAAAATTTGTAATCTAATTTTGTAAATTTGGGAGTGCTTCAAATATGACATTAAAACGATTATGTCGTTACAAATGGATTTTTTTTAACATTATCTAGTATGGTAAGATTGTAGGACCAATAAAAATTTGACGTTATATTAGGGTTGTCGTTACATTCAATGAAATTATAATCAGGTTAAACTGTATATTGTTTGTGCAAAATAAAAAATAATTTTGGACAATACAATAGCCACGATTATTTTTTTCAAAAACAGGAACTTTTCGTTACACATCGACAAAAATTCAACCCGGGCCAACACGCAACAGAGAGAAATTTTGAAATTAGATAGGTTAATTTCATTGAAGATGCATCATGGATGATCTTGTGGTTGTGGCCGGCGAAGTTTGAACAATTGCGCCCAAAAGCAGCGATATCAAAGAAGATAGAAGAATGAGAACGAGACCTGCCTTGAGCATCAAAGTGATTCTGTATCCGAGACATAGTCTTGTCCCAAATATGGTTTTGCCATTTTACTTGTTACAAATAAAACAGAATAAGCAAAAATTTCAAAAATCCTAATTTGAATACATCAACATAACATTTAAACATCATATATGTTTAAATGTTTAAATGTTGAAACGTCAGTTATGTTGATGTATTCAAATTAGGATTTTTGAAATTTTTGCTTATTCTGTTTTATTTGCAACAAGTAAAATGGCAAAACCATATTTGGGACAAGACTATGTCTCGGATACAGAATCACTTTGATGCTCAAGGCAGGTCTCGTTCTCATTCTTCTATCTTCTTTGATATCGCTGCTTTTGGGCGCAATTGTTCAAACTTCGCCGGCCACAACCACAAGATCATCCATGATGCATCTTCAATGAAATTAACCTATCTAATTTCAAAATTTCTCTCTGTTGCGTGTTGGCCCGGGTTGAATTTTTGTCGATGTGTAACGAAAAGTTCCTGTTTTTGAAAAAAATAATCGTGGCTATTGTATTGTCCAAAATTATTTTTTATTTTGCACAAACAATATACAGTTTAACCTGATTATAATTTCATTGAATGTAACGACAACCCTAATATAACGTCAAATTTTTATTGGTCCTACAATCTTACCATACTAGATAATGTTAAAAAAAATCCATTTGTAACGACATAATCGTTTTAATGTCATATTTGAAGCACTCCCAAATTTACAAAATTAGATTACAAATTTTATTTAACATAAAACAAACTATGTGTTCAGTCCTAAGGTCAGAGTTCACTTCTTAGAATGACTGTGGTTGGTACTCTCCCCTACCTGACTTTGGTGGGGTGAGGTGCCTATTTTGCCTGTTTGTAGAAGAGGGTCACCATTTTCTATTTTATTTTGACTCTATTCTCGGTCCCCTGACTACCTATGAGTCTGGATTTTTTTATGCGCAAATGATTTGGGCACCTAATACTCTGTGCCAAATATCAACTCTCGATATGTACTCCTTCATACCTCTACGCTGGTAAGAAAATTTGGCAGTACGATTTTATAAACAAGACAGTCTTGTCAATAAGCTAGAAAACAAAAGTGCAAAAAATTTGCAATTTTTCAAAAAATCTACCAGATATTTATACAATATTAATATGTTTAACAAAAAAATTCAAAAGAGAAAATATATAGAAAAATTACAATAAAGACACTTAAAATTATAAAAGCTAGAAATGTTTGTAAGGATTATTAGACATTTTATTTCATTCTTGAAATAGAACAGAAAGAGAGAACTTTTTAATATTTTATAATAGTAAAAGTCTAAAAATCTGTCAGGTGAAGCTATTTTTATAATATTGGTTAACTATGTAAAAGTTTCAATAAGGCAAGAGTAATTTCTTGGTGTTAATTTAATTTTTCATAAAAATTTACTGTAATATTGTAATACTGTATATTTTATTTCATTTATTTAGAATGTTACCAAAGTTAATTTAGAATGGTTAAAAAATTATTTTCAAATATCCAAATTATTTTTCTGTAAAAACTTCAAAAACGAACAGTTTTAAAGGTGCACATACTTATGTTACTAGATTAATAGAGTTAATTAAAGAGTTCCAAACATCTGAAAAATAATGTTTCAATATTTTTTTAATAAAAAATATGTTTGAAAAGTTTGGGTATAAAATATGGTAATTGCCATTTCCATTAGTACATTCTTGTTAGCTGTTAGCACATTATAATATATTTCAAATTATACTTTTTAAATTATAACATGCACCTTAATCAGAATGAAGAAAACAAACAAGAAAACTTCTTAAGACATTTAAATTTTTGCATTTTCTCTTAAACTTTTATTATGGTACTTGCCATCTTTTACACCCAAACACGTCATTTTTATTGTACTGAGAAGATTAATATAGTAATTTTATTTTAAAAAACAAATTTCTTTAATAAAGTAAAGCAGTCTACTAAATGAAATTCAACTACAAATGATCATTTGATCTGTTTTCGTATGAAATGGGAATTTCTAGATAATTACATCAGAAAAAAATTTATTTAATGTTACTAGTTACTATATTAAGTTGATTTCTAAATAATACAATTTTATATATATATCACACAGCATAACTTAAAAATTGAATCTGAAAATACCTCTTCTGGAGAATGAATCAAATTCCAAATTTCATCTTTATAAACTTGATCAGAAAAATACTGACTCTGTAATAAACTCCAAGGAATTGCACCACTCATTACACCCTAGTTTTTAAAAAGTATTTGCTTAATATATATTTATACAGTATTTCAAGAAGTTATAATATAAGAATTATAAAAAATAAGTTATTCATTTGATCTTCAGTAAGCAGATGATTGCATGCAAAAACTAACAAAAATTGCTATGAACTTTCCGAACAACCCAATATTTTTTATGTTTAAATAGCAGCGATATCAAAGAAGATAGAAGAATGAGAACGAGACCTGCCTTGAGCATCAAAGTGATTCCGTATCCGAGACATAGTCTTGTCCCAAATATGGTTTTGCCATTTTACTTGTTACAAATAAAACAAAATAAGCAAAAATTTCAAAAATCCTAATTTGAATACATCAACATAACATTTAAACATCATATATGTTTAAATGTTTAAATGTTGAAACGTCAGTTATGTTGATGTATTCAAATTAGGATTTTTGAAATTTTTGCTTATTCTGTTTTATTTGCAACAAGTAAAATGGCAAAACCATATTTGGGACAAGACTATGTCTCGGATACAGAATCACTTTGATGCTCAAGGCAGGTCTCGTTCTCATTCTTCTATCTTCTTTGATATCGCTGCTTTTGGGCGCAATTGTTCAAACTTCGCCGGCCACAACCACAAGATCATCCATGATGCATCTTCAATGAAATTAACCTATCTAATTTCAAAATTTCTCTCTGTTGCGTGTTGGCCCGGGTTGANAGTAAGCAGATGATTGCATGCAAAAATTTATTGAAATGTTGAGAAGAAAACTAAGAATGAGACCTTAAGGAATTGGTAAATGAATAATAAAAATACTTTCTTAAATCATTTTAAATAAGTTTTACTTAAAATATCTGTTTCTTCTCTATAGCAATTATATTTTATTTGATTATTTCTAGGTAAATTGAATATATATGTTAAAAACAGCATAATCTATATATTCTCCTTAAGATAAGTTATAAAATATGAAATTTAAAAATAGCATATCATTCATAAAACATTTAAAATTTTTCTTTAAAATAATGCTAGTTACTAGTTATTAAGATTTGCATTTAATTTTTTCAATAATAATTATTTACCTGAGTGAAAACACAAGAAGCAGTTGTCCAAGAAAGACAGGGTATAATTGCAAGTGGCTTATGCCAATTACTTCCAGCAAGTGAAGCCATCTAGAAAAAACAAAAATTCTATAATTTTACAGTTTTTATAATTTTTAATAATTATATAACAACTCTTGTGTAAATTAAAAATTTCAGAATAAGATTAAAGTCAACATAAATAATTTTGTGCTAAAATTTTTTTAATCAATCATTTAAAATTGAATAAATGAATTAATGTTGAAATTTCTTAAATTTATAATGAATTATAAATGTGATGAGTAGAGATAATGGCACAACAGAGGAATTATTATATTTCTATTTTTTAAAGCATTTTTAATAAAAAGCAAATTTTTTCATAATCTAAAATGTTTTTCCTATTACATTTTAATATACAAAGTAGTCTTAAACCTGACAACAAAATAGATAATATTAAATGATATGACATGTTAATTCTGAAAAAAAATTTTGCCTTCACTTTTTCAGATTCATACTAACAAGATCACATAAAAGAAGATAATCTGATATACACAATGAGAAATTGTCAGTGGTGTGATTCAGAAAAAAATGTCAGTAATTAAAACTTTATATCATTTATTGATAGAATGTCAAAAGAAATTAAAAAGAAAATAGTCATTGATAGATATAACTTACTAAATTATGAATATTTATCTGTTATAATACTAATATAAGGAATGAAGATTGTGACTCCCTTGTAACAAGGCAATTTCTTAAATATAATAAAAAGTTCGTTGAATTTAATATATTGATTTGATTTTGATTAATTCTCATAATTGTTATTAAATTCTTTAAAATAATATAAGAACTTACATGACCACCCATGGATATTCCTGTGATGGCTAATGGGCCAAAACCTTGTGCTTCACACCAATGAAATAATGCAAGTGATTCCAAAACAAGACAACCTCCCATAACAAAGATATCAGAAACATTATGAAGACTAGAACGTCTGAAAATAAACGAATGTAATTGCCTTTAGTTGTTAAATTAAAGATATGAGTCAAGAATAATTTATAAAATATGGAAGATATAATAAATATTAAAGTTCAAATTCAAAAACAGCTATACATAATTTAAAATTAACTATAAATATCTTATCAAATTATTAAAGTGAAATAGGAAATTTGGAGTAATGGATTTAAGTTGATAATCTCCGGAAAAATGTCTCAATCAATCTGCTAGCTGAACAAATTCAAAAATGAAAATAATAAAAACTTTCAATAAATTTTCTAAAGAATTTTATAAATAGTTATTTATTTATTTAGAAAAATACTGTAGTCTATAAATATTAAATTAGTCAAATGTTATTTTTTATTAGTATTATTTTAAAAAAACAGTTATTTACTTACATTTGATTATTTGGTTTTCTTAAACCATGTATTCAAGTTAAAGAAATTTTTCACTTTGAAAAAATTAATTTTATTAAAAAAACTAATTAATATCACATTATAATGATATAAAATTATTAAATTAACTTAAATTTAAAAAAAAAGGTTTCATGAAAGAGTATAAAATGGATTCTCCAAAAGGATGGAAGCAATTCCGTGTTTCAGCAGAGGTTTGGCCATGAGTATCCTCCTCCTCCAAAAAAACTAAAAAATATTTAAAATGTAGAAATAATAATAATATTAATAAAACATTAAAACTAAAATTATATTTAACATTTGTAATTATTTATTTATTTGAAGAAATAATATTTGTTTAATCAACTTTAAAATTAAATGTTAATGAAATTTACATACATGATCACCAGTTCCTGCCAAATGTAGACAAACAGGTTTTAGATGATTTTGTGGCCATTTTGTGGGTAACAGCATTTGAAACCTAAAAAAGAGGATAGTCATAAAATAATAAATCAAACGTATTTACAATCTATAATACTATTACAAATGCTTAACTCTTGAATATCAAAATACTAAATATACTGTTTTAAAAAATAATGAAATGTTATGTTCAGTACTAATGCTAAAGTAAAGTGAATTTTAGTACATAAATTTGAATAAATATTGAATATTTCAGTATTTTTATAAAAAAGAAAAAACACATATGAATCTAAAAGCTTGAGTTTTTCCATTACATTAATTTTATTTAAGTCAAATTATATGGAAAATAAAGGCTTCTCATTATTTTATCATTTCCTAAAATGATCTTTTTTGTCTGATATGTAACTATATCTACACTAAAATAGTATTATTGACTTCATTATAACTTAAAATATAAATTATTTTTAATACACATTTTTAATAAATATTTTGTAAGTAAATATTTATTAAATATTAGGCTTAGATTATTATTTACATAGTTCGATTCAGCAGCAATTGTCAAATCAACTAAAAATTTGACAATTGCTGCTGAATCAAACTATGTAAATAATAATCTAGGCCTAATATTTTACACAAAACTAATTTCAAGTCCATTTTAAATAAAAAATTTTTACTGATATCTTTTATATTTCATATTTCATTTCTGCTATGCTGTTCCTTCACCATTTTTATTTATTGCATTTCATCTGTTATGAACAAAAGAAATTATTTCTTGCAAAGAAGATACTTTTGATACACAATATTTTGATTTCTATTTTCATAAATGAAATCAAATACTATTTCTTTGAATGCTATCTTGCTGAATAAAACTATTTAATATGCTAAGGAACTATATAAATAGTTTTTCAAATTAATTTCACAAGCTAAAGATTGTTCTCATAATCTTAAAAAAGGATAAAATTGATTTTAGGCCAAAGTTTAAAATTGATGATTACAGAAATTAGAAAAACTAATCATTTATAACTTTAACAAATCTAACCATTACTTTAAAATAAAAGATTAACAAGAAAATGAAATTGTGTAAACAAAGCACTTTCAGGAAATAAAATTTTTCATTATAAAATATTCAATAATTTTTGCTAAGAATCATAATTAGGCTTTGTGAGACATCTCACTAAATAATTTATATATTCTCTGAATCAAAAGTGTTCGTTATCTTCCTTAATAGACATTTTTTGTATAAGATATATTTAAAATATTAACTATTAGTTTTTAAATAAGTTTTAGAATAGTTCTTAATAAATGTGTAAAATATCAGAGTTAATAGATATACATTTGTATGAAATTCAAAGTAACTAAAATGTTATATAAGATATGTAGGAGGTTATGTTTTTACATAATTAACGTTCTTTTTAGGTTACAAAGTAACTATAATCATTCAAAATAATTTTGAAAAGTTCAAGAGTTTTCTCTTGTATTTTGTTTATTTTTATAAGTTGAATACAAATTCAAAACAGATATAAATCATATTCTGAATACAGGTAACAAAGAGAAAATAAGGACCTATTTTGAATTATCTATGCATGAAACCAAAAGTGAACAACTGCTTATTACATATTTTTTGATAAAAATGGCTGAGACAGTAGAAAATTTAAAAATGAAAAAATAATATTAATTCTCAAATAGACAATACTTTAAAAGTGTCCTCATACTTCATCCCTTTCAAACACCATTAGGAAATAAGTAAAGTCAACCTTCTTTACACACTTCTCATCTCAATACATAAAATATTAAAATCTTTTCTCTGGTGACAGCACAATCAATTAAAAAATATATACTTTTCATAAATTATTTTTGTTATTTTATACTTTCAGTCTAAATTTGGTTAGTCCTAGTTGTAAGTTAGATTAGGGGCTCTTAGCTTGGTTTCTGGTTAGGTTAAATTAGATTAGGGTTTGTTAGCTTTAGTTATCTGGTTAGGTTCATCCTAGGTTATGGTAGGTTAGTTTAGTTAGTAGGTAAGTTAACATTTAAAAATAAATAAATAAATAATTAAATAAATAAATAAATAATAAATTTTAGGGTCTTGCTCATTTGTCTCTGTCGGTCCATTCATATTGTCTAGTTTGTCATTGTGTTTGTTTGCTTTTCACACTGTCTGTCTAGCTGTTAAGTAGTATTAAGATTTGCAATCACGTTCAGTTTTATTAGTATTGAATAGATATGTCTTCCTACTAACAGCCACTTGGCACTAACTTCTACACTTAGCTATTCGGCACTCAATTATTGTGTTCACTACACTCAGATTTTCTTTAGACCCTTCAGAGGACTACGGTCTTGCAGCCTAAAAACTGCATGCCAACATCAAACATAGAGGGTACTGTAGCAATATGTACGCCGTTCAAAAGGATCCTACCTTTTTCTACTGTCTCTCTCTCTCCCTCCTTCTTCCCCCTTTCCCTTATCCTCTTTTCTGACAGCTAAACACCTCGTGTATGGCCAATGTGTTTCTTGTATGTATGTATGTATGTATGTATGTATGTATGTATGTATGTATGTATGTAATACGTATGTAATTTTGTACTTTCCTGGCCACTTTTATCAAATGTATATATTTTTTAATTGATTGTACCATTGCTAGAGGGAATATTTTAGCATTTCATATATTAAGGTGCACAAAAAGTCTCTAAAGAAAGGTCAACTCTGCTGTAAGACTTTTTCTTGATGTGTGAAAGGGATTAAATATGAGAACACTTTTAAAGTACTGTCTACTTGAGAATTTTTTGTAAATTGCTTATTACGTAAGCTATAATATTGGAATAATTCTGTAATCATTGTTTTATGCTAATAATATATCTTGTGTGCATTGTATAAACAGAATAAATCAATCAACTTAAAATTTTCAAAATGCTGTTACAGTTATCTTTTTAATAAACTAACCTTGCTGTCTCAACTTCTTTTGGTACAACTTCTGGAATATATTGAACAAATGGACTAAGAAAATGACCTTCCAAAATTTTGTAGTGAGAATAATTTTCTACCTGTTATCATCATAAAAATAATTAAATATCAACTTTTATTAATAAATAACTAAAAGCAATTTAAATATAATTAAAATTAATTAGATAAATATATAAATTAACATTATAATCTTATTCCTATAATTACATATATTTTAAAATACAAACTTGAAAATATTCTGTTTGTAATCTGTTTTCTTTCAAATTTTATATATTTTAATGCTTTTTATATATAAAACAATTATAACAACAAAATAAATATTAGTTATTAATAAAAATTCCAGAAAAAATATTCTCCTGCTGAAAAATTCTTATCAAGTTAGAAAAAATTTATTCTTCTAGTCAATATATCTTTCATTCAAGCTTGAATTTATTTTAAAATCATAAGATACAGAATCTTGCTGTTTATAAAACTAAATTGCAAAAGTTAATTCCCTTGAATAGCTTTCAAATGGAAACAAATTGTAAGAAAAATATAAAAATTTTATATCTGTCCAACTTATCAACTTTCTTTTAACCTTCTAGTACTAACATGCAATCTGTGAGACTAACTAGTATGAAGATTAGGTAACTAACTTATGTTCATAACTGTATTAAATAAATTAATATTTTATTCTAAATAAGTTTACTTTTATAAATAAAGTAAACTGCAAAATATTACAACATTCAATTTTTTTCCTTCACCATTTAGTTATTGCTCAAATAATGTAACATGAAAATAATCATAATACAATTAGCATCAAATGGCCATGAAGAAGTTAATCATTCTGAAAGATTATTAAACTTGTATTAAAAATTTTTAATAATATATTTTGAAAATACTATTAAAATTTGATTCAAAATGAAAGAAAATTTCATAGAATTAATATTTAATTGGGTACATCAGAAACACATTAAACCAAGGGGGAACAGATTGATGTGTGTTACATGGCCAGAATTTCACAAGGAATTGATTGCTGAAAGATTTATTGACCTACATCAAATTGTTATAGAGTTTAGATAGAGTTAGATAGCCTAATAAATAGGATTTTAACAATTTGGACGGCTTATCACACCAAGGCCGACCAAAAAATAGACCAGATCTTTTACAAAAAATTAGTCTTTAATAATCACCATCAAATATAGAAAAGGATGCATTTCAGATGCAAGGACCCCCTCATCAGCTTATGAACTCATAGTACCAACTTAGCATACATACAATTATAACACTATTAGTTAACTAATGCAAAGGAATTTTTAATATATACAGTGCACTGTATTTACAATAGTTAATACAACCCATACACTAAAGAACTAAAAACTAAATTGAGAATAAAATTTTCTTTATATTTAATGTGATATATCATTATTTGGGACCAGTAAATGTCTTATTTTCTTCCACATTTTCCGAATTCTGGTAGACAGTTCCACTATTAATAATAAAATATTGTTAAATTTATTAAAACCAAAAGGGAGAGAAACTAACAATGAACTTACAATTATTAAAATAATTGGTTTCCAGACCTTAAACAAAACAAATATGCTAAATCCATAAGAATGTGTGAAGCTAATTGCCTTGTTACAATTTTCATTTTACAATGTGATGTGACTTTACCCCAAACCTGTTAAGTATCTGTTTCAAGATTATGTAAAAACTATGTCATTCCACCCCTGATGTAGTTTCAGTACCACATTGTTATTAATTCTAATGTCTTCCTGTATTTTCAGAATTTCTGTGTGTTCCTGTAGTCTTCTTTTTAATTGATTGTTTTCTGTCAGAATACTCTTGACACTATCTTTTAAAATTTCACAACCTTCAATATTGCAATGTTGTGCCACTGATGATATTAAATTGTTTTTGATGGCATATATATGTTCTTTAATTCTTGTCTTTAATTTCCTTCTGGTTTCACCAATGTATCATTTTTTATATGAACAACTGCAATCCAATGAATAAATTACATTATCTTTTTCTAAATCATTATGTTCATTATTTTTTTATATTTACTGTTAATCATTTTTGCTATGGTTCTTGTATGGTTTGGTACTAAAACAATATCTAAATTTTTTAATTCTTCTTTAATTTTTCAAAAACACCGAAAACATATTCCATTTTAAGATACAATGTTTTAACAACTCTCGGTTGTCTATTTAACCACTCAGCAGTGAAGGACGGATATATCCGTCCAGGGCAATCGTGTGGCGGTGGTGAAGGACAGATATATCCGTTAAATTATTTTGGGGGTATCGCCAAAAGCTACCCAAAAACTACTGCAAAAAAAATTCACCTAAAAAATGAATTATGTAACACTAAAAAAAGACTTTTCTTTACTAGACATAACTGTTTACAAAATCTTTTTCTAAAACAATAATGAGAAAAAACGTGCGGAAAAATACTTTAAAAATTTCCCACGTTTATTCTCCACTACTGGAAGTAGAACCATACCTGACTAAAGGTTAATATGACATTTTCTCTTTTCCTTTTACTTGTTTTTAACCATTTTAACAATAATGTTCTAGGATAATTATTTAAATAAACATTCTTATTATATTTTCTATTTCCATTTCTTGATCATTTTACATGGTCGTTCTCTCTTTAATTTTGTTAATATGCATCTGAAAAGTGTTCTTTATTATACATATAGGTATATTAGATTTCAAGTGTATAACTTTACTGGTAGCACATTTTTTAACATACTATTTAAATAGTAAATTATTAAATAGTAAATAATTTACTATTAACTTACTATTTAATAATAGTAAATTATTATTTTATATATTTTTATATTATAAATATGACCAAAATTTCATATGGTTATATTTATTTTATGTTCTGATGGAAAGTATAGGCCACTTATTTTTCAGAAATATTAGCTATAGAATAAACATTTTATCAATTTTGGATCAGTGATCACACTTATGTTGCAATGACATCAGCAACCTTATTTAGTTCATGCTTGACAATGGAAATTTCCCTTACATTGCATTTTTAAATATTTTGGTAAATGGTATATTTTAAACTTGCTTCATAAAATTTAAACTTTAAAAAAAGATTGCCATATCATGTCATTTCTATAACAAATTTTTTAAAAATCTTTCTATAGTGATCATGTCACATTCTATTATCCAATTAGAAGTAATAATCTAATGAGCTTGTTAATTGAAGCATAATAATATGTTTTAAATATGTTCTAACGGAAAGTATAAGCTATTGAATTTGTAGAAATATTAGTTACTCTTCTTGAATTTCTTGAAGTCTGTACTCTTCTCAATTCTTCAATCTCTACTTTCTCACAGAAAGTTGTCCATCATATTTGACAGGAGAATTTCTACTAATATATAAAGATATATGTCTGAAAAAGAGATGTGTGAAATTTTTCAAGAAACAGATACAGGTAATAGATTTCTGCTAATAATCTAGCATATCCTCTAGTATAATTGCCTGTGTGCTTCCACTTATATGAAAATGTTAATGTCGCACACCTTGTTTTCTTGTTTATCTAGGTTTTATTTCTGTATACAGTATTGCATAATAGCACACTATTATTTGTCCATCTGCATCCAAAAAGAATCAGTACCAAAGGGCTACAGATAATGTTATTTATTGTTATTGTTCTTTAATAATCCAGCATTTCTATGTGCAAGGAATGGCCAGATTAGCAAGAGTATAGTGTATTATACATGTTAGGCTCAAAGATCAAAAATGCTCAATGAGCAGGGAAAAAAAGGAAAAAAAAATCACTATTATTATGTAGTATGCTTTCGTTTAATATATAACAATATTTAAAAATAAAAACAAAAAAAATTACTTACTTTATCAATCTTTATTGGATAATCATGTCTTACAAGTTTTTGACATGTTTCTCTATTTGAAATTATTTTTCGAAATGCAAATAACCTAAAAAGAAAATTAATATAAAAAATTTTAAAGCTTTAGAGTTCTTAATTAAAATTTTCTTTTAATATTGTTCTAACAGCAAGATAACATGTGGTATCTAACATTACTATAAACAAAACTTTCTCTTACACATAAAAAATAATATTTATAATGTTTTTCATAATGATCAAATTCCTTGCCCACCCACTTCTTATAATGAATAAATATTTCATTCTTGTCATCAATAATAACAATAATAATAATAATTATGCTATAATAACTAGTCTACAATAAAGACATTACTATATATATATGCTTCCTAGGCAATTAATAAAATAAAAATGCTTGATAAAAATAAAAATGATTGGTTGGGATAAATTTTTAAGAAAAGTATTTTTCTCAGTTAAATTGTCAAGTTTAAAGCTTATATCATAAAATAAATAAATAAATAAGTAATTAAATAAACTTAAATCTAGTAAAAATAAAACAATCATTTCATTAATAAACATTTTCAACTTTATATATAATAGAATATAATAAATTTTAAATTTATTATATTCTATTTTTACTGGATTTAAGGTTATTTTTATATTAATTTTAGTACATACATCCAGTGTTTGGAGATTTTACTCTAAAGCTTATTTTAGGATTTCTATTCCAAAATTTTTTAATAAAGCCTTGCCTTTATTTATATAATTGATTTTAAAGAAAACAACAGTATAATTTGTCAGTTCCTGACAGACAACTAATTTTATTTAATTAATAGGGTAATTGTACCCATTGCACTATCATTTGTAATAATTCCAGTTTTTAAACTGTTCTTATTATAATACTTTAGATATTTATTGTGTTTAATGCTGTATGTCTAACCTTTTGAAATTTAATGTGTAACTATTATTCTGATATAACAAATTTTTTTATCTTTAGAATAAAATATTCCACACATATTATACAATTTAATGTAAAATGGCATTTAAAAGCCAGCTTTAGCATAAATTAAATTGTTTTTTTATTCTAAAGTTTGACTATTCTCAAGACAAATTTTTGTTTAAAAACATCATTTTGTGGCAATACAGAAGGATGTATTTAAACAATTTTTTGTATTGAGGCAAAGAAGAACCTCTAAATTAAAGTCAACTCCACTAAATGACTTTTGTTGTTCCTGTGGTGCAAGAAGGGTAAAATGTAAAGATTCTGAATATTTTAGCATTTCTTCTACTTGCTATTTTAGTATGAATTTATCATCCTTAATTCTATTTTTATTAATTACATTAATTGAAACATATTTTATTATAATATAAATAATTGTTCTAACTATTTATACATTATGTTTCTCAAAAATTAAAATATTTTTCAAAGATTATAAAAAATTACCTTTTAAAATTTTCTGTTTTTCCCCATCCTTTTGTAAAAAATTTTGTTAGTAATATTCTTCTATAGACTGTATCTAATTTACTTGTTGAAGACATTTTATTTTAATACTCTAGAATAGAAAACAAAGTATTTATATAACTTCAGTTAACTATAAATAATTTTCAGTATTTATTTCAAAATATTTAATTGCATAAATCTATTTCAGTATTTAAATGAAAACCAGACAGATTGAATAAAATAGAAATAATTTGCCTTTTGATAATAGTTGTTGATTGTGAGACTAATATTAAACAATACATGGTTATGTCAAATTTATTGGTTAGAATCAGAACCAATCTTGAACACACTCTCTCATATCTGCATCAGATGAGATAGCATACTTTTCAAATACTTTTTCAACTGGTCCAAAGACAATCAAATCATATGATGATAAATGTGGAGAGTACATTAGATGATACTTTATTTCCCAACAAAATTTATTTGGTGTAATATCCTATTCATACCAAAAAGTTTAAGTAGACTTAATACAGTACTTAGCAGGATTAAGTTAAGGCATATTATGCAAATCAAGATCAACTATTCGTTCATGCTACAAAATTAAAACTAATTATTTAGGAATGTTCATAAACCATGTAGCTCAATATTTTGCAAAATTTTGATCTCTTCTGTCCTGGTAACTCTTTATGGCTAGACAAATGATCCTTAACCCTAAAACCAAATAATCTAGGGAAGCTGGACCTCCAAATACTTTTATTTTAAAATTTAAACACCAGGTCATTTTTTCCAAATAGTTTTTCCTATTTAAATATATTGCCAGATCTTTTAACTTTTAGAATTCACATTATACAAAATAACATAAAACATATAACTATTCTATGTCACTACTCTGGCCAAATTATGGCTCACAAGCTTCCATATACAATTTCTTTTAATAAATTTGGTACAGGTTACTTACACATATGTAATATTTTTGTAAGTATACTGATTATTATGAAGTGTGAGTTATGCATAGATTATAAATGTAATTCACAACTTAACCCTAAACAGGCAACTGAAAGTTAAGGATACATTTGTAAAGTCAAAGGAACTGAACAATGTTTATCTAGCAGATCATAAAGTAACAGAGATATTTACCACAAAACAGAGATATTCAACTTTAGTATTTTAATTGGATGTAATACAAAATACTATTCCAATAGAAATGTAGATCTCACTTATTTCTGGTAAGGGATTTATGGCTGTTGTTATAAGGTTTGGTTACCCCTGTTATATGTCCTTCTATATTACTTTTTTATAATAATGAATAAAATAAAATAAATTATAATTGTACAATTACATAGACTTGTGCTGTTATCAGATCATTGGTTTTCAATCAATATTGCGAATTCATTGTCCCTTTTGCTCAACATTGCTTCTATTAATAGTTTTCCTGATGCTGTGATCCTCCACAAATTTGATATCCTACAATAAGAAGTAAATTTCTTTCTTGGAACAATTTTCCATATATAATTCTTTTCATTCATACTAGATAATCTATTTTCACCATATTTTGAATATAAGTAGAAGTAAGGTTTATAAATGTTTTGAATGTAAGTAGAAATGTATTAGTTAATTGTTTGCTACTCGTCAATACTATTAATTGGTTCCTGTACTGATTAATTGTTAAGTGGCAGTTAACTCTCCAATGATTACAATAATCAGTAAATAATCATTCCATTGGAAAAACAATTTATTATTTTTTAAATTACAATTATTAAACATTAAACATTATGTTTAATTAAAGAAATAACTTTATATAATTCAGAATAATATGGAAAAACATCTAGATCTGTTAGAAACCATTAGCTTTTTGTAGTTTTAAATTTTTATTCAAACTGAAAATGTTCTATTACAGCATTACTAAATTTTTAGAAATATTGTAGTATATATATATAAAAGGAATAACCTTCAATCTCATTCATAGCAAATTATCACACAAAATCAGTTAACTTTCAATGCATCTGCCTATTTTCAAAAGAAATTTTTCAACAAGTAGATTATGAAATAATTTGCAATGTAATATTATTATTTTGTTAATTATATTGCACACTTGAAAGAATTATGATGTATGGAAGTAAGTCAATTAGTTTATCAATTAATAATGGAAAAATGTAACTACCCAGAAATATTAAAATCATTGCACTTATTTACTCAAAATGGTATCAGTATAGAATCATCAAGTATATAATCCATATTTTACATTAAACAAGATAATGTTTTGTTATCTTGCTTGAATCAATGTCAAGAAACTTAGATAAAAATAATTTACTGTGATAATTTTGATTATACCAAGTTATTAAAAAATTATGTTATTCAAATGAAATTGTCCAGTGTTTAGTTTGATCTCTCAATTGTACACCAGACAAGACCTGTAGAACCAGACAGTTTGGTTCAAAACTGGACTGTTGGAAACTACCTATTACAGATATATTAGGTTATTATATTGATCACCTGAGAACAAGAATCTGCCAGAGACATTAAGGGAGAGAGGAAGAGAGTACATATAGCACCCAAGCATTTTTAATTTAAGAACCCTGTCTAGCTGATAAACATAGCTGTCATTTATAATGCCAGTTGCATCAGTTTTAAGTAAATTAAATAACCAACCATGCAGTTCTTACCATCTTGCATTTCAAGCAAGCAAGCCTTGTACTATGAAATGTGGACAAGTTGCTAAGAGACCCTAATTTCCTTTATTATGAGAATATAAAATCATACTAATTCCTTTTTTTGTTACAGCAGCATGATTAAATTGTGCACCTGCTAGTATACTGAATAAATCAATGAAGTGGGATAAAGGAAAAAGGAAAAAAAAACCAACAAAACAAAGCATTTCTCTCCATTGTATATAAATTGAAATCCGACTACTTAAATTAATTAGTAGTAATCCACTTAATCAAGGATGATTTATGTAAATTTATTTTTCAGTATTTTCAAACAACTTTAAAATGGAAATAAATAATAATATAAACATTTATATATTTAATTGATAGATAAAGAAAAATTATTGTTGTAAAAAAGTTAAAACTAAAAAAAGCTGTATATAAAATTTTATTAAATTTTAGTTTATAAAGATATTTTTAAAAATACTTGACAATAATTAGTTAACAATTAGTTGTATGATTAGATGTATACAATCCCAATTAATGATTAATTAATTGGCAAACATGATAATCATCCCATCCTTAAATATAAAGTTCTCCAGGTCCACTCTTAAGCAGACCTCAAAGAAAGCTGATGATGTCAAACTGTCTGAAGTTTGTTTGGAAAAATGAATTTTACTCATTCACTTTTTTGAATTTAAGTCAAAACTTACAGTGTTGTTAAGCTGATTTTGTTCTTGGCTTGAAGTGTACAGTACAATGTGAATAGGGTATAACTTTCATTATGATTACTACAAACTGCCAAGCAATAATAAGAAACAGAATAATTCTGTATAAATAGTTACTTCAGAGATGATATATTAGTAATCAGAATCAAGAAATGTATACACTAATTAAGTAAACCATAGACAAGGTTTCTGGTAGTATGCATGCGTGCATATTATGCTTAACAATTCAGAATCAATCATGAAAATTTTGATTCTGTATGGAACATGTCCCCACCAGTTTTGTCTATTTCTCATCTTCCCTCCTAAGTACAAGTTTCAAACTTCATTTATAATAAATGCTAGCAAGCCTACAGAACAATCAAGTTGCTAATACATACCTGATACAGTCTATATTAAATTCATTTTATGCTGTAAAATGAATTGTATTTGTTTTTATTAGAGTTAAATATTACTTTTACTTAGCATCCTGAAAAATTTCAATATGTATACCTTCATCTGTCTAATTCTGAGTGAGGATTCTGCAACATCAACTAAGTTCAAATCCATTTTGAAATGAACTTCCACACTTAAATTAATTAGAAAAAAAAAACATTTTTTAAAAATTCAAATCACAAAAACTTTCCTTTCAGGTTTTCTCCATCAAAATCAAATCAGAACAACCTAAAGATTCCAGAACAAAAGAAAAAAACAACATTTTTCAAATTAGTTAAATATGATTTTTTTAACATCTCATACAAAATATTCCAATTCTATGGTTTGCTTCACTTGCTCACTTGCTTCACTTGCACTGAGCAAGTGAAGCAAATGGCCCACTTGGGTCCAATATAGACTATTGAACCCAAGTGACCATTATAGACCAATATAGACTATCTGCAATAAAAAATTTTGTGGCAATTCAATTGCCTACAAGGATACAACTTGAACTNCCAAATTAACACTTATCACATGCTTGTACTGTTAATCATAGCAACAGTTATCGAAAAAACTTGCTATGATTAGTATAAAATGATTTAAATTAATCATTTAAATTATTTTATATCAGTTGTGGTTAATCTTAAAAATAAATTCAATGACATTTCAAATTAATTTACCAAAATAGAATTAAAAAAAAAACTTTTTAAATGTAGTGTTTCAAAATTGTCTACAGTGTATATTCGACAAGTATAGAATTATATAGTAAAATCACTATGATACAAAAACTTAATATTGATCATTATAAATAATAATAATATATGTAAATAATAAATTAATTCTTTAATAATTTTATATTTCAGCTAAAGAAAAATTTTCATTTAACAAGATGTATATATTTATCACAAGAATTATCGAGGATAGGTGTGCCGATACTTCAACAAATTTTTAAAAATTTATCCACTGGTTACGTAAACTATTCGAAAACTAGTAATGAAGATAAAAATTCCGAAAAAATAATTCTTTTGGGACACGACGATAAAGTCTTAGGAATTAGGATGAAGTCTGAAGCAGAATTATTTGCAAATAAAAAAGACATGACGTAAGTCTTATTAATTAAATGTGAGTTTCAATATTTAGTTGGTAATTTATATTTAAATATACATAGAACAATTTACTTGAAAATGGAATTTCAATGTATTGTGTTTGGTTCCAAAGTACTTGCACACTATATGCTGAAAATTAACAAAATAAGAAAAAGCTTGCTAGTACAGTACTTTCAATATTGTATTAATGTTATCTTCAAATCAAATCTGGAACATACATAAATACATAATTTTTGTTTTAAGAGGCTTTAAAATCTGACTAGCCAGACGATGACATTAATTAATACAATATAGTATTGAAAGTACTAGTGAGTTTTTTGGTATTAAAGTCAAACTAATGCCAGTAGACAGTTATTTTCTTGGTTGTTTTTGTATAGCTCTGAAAAGAAATTCTTAACTCTTCAAAATGTATTTTAAAATAACTATAACTATATATGTATGTATATATATATATATATATTTTTTTTTCTTTTAACATTCCACAGAATATTAAGTTTATAGTCTTTTCATGATAATTGTGTAACATGAAAATGTTTGTTTGTGCAAATGAGATGTAAAGAGAAGAGTAACAATGCAATGAGAAAAGCATAAATAAGAATAGTTTTTCCACCATATAAATTATATCTTTACAGCCATTCCTTCCTTAATAACAGAGTTCTGTTCATGTGACTATATTGTTAAGAAAATTTGGTAGTTAAAGGAGGAGCTTAATTATTTGTATTTATTGTAGATAAAGAAAAGATCTAAAGGAAACTTCAACTTGATAACTTTGTTTTAATTTGCATTTGTTACATATCACAGAATGTAAATGTACAATTAGCAAAAATTATAAAAATGATTTAGCAAAGAAATTAATGTTTAATCATAAAAAAAATATTCAGATTAATATTTTAGTTATTGAATCCTTCATATAGGATGTGTAATAAAGTGCCCATTTATAAATGAAATAGATAGCTAACAAACTGTGGGAATATGATGAAGAAAGGGGATTCCTCATGCTGGAGAGATGGCCCTAAGTATATATCACTCACAATATTTAAATAAACCATCACCAGTTCATAACTAACTGGTTGGTTATGAACTGGTAATGGTTTATTTGGTGAGTGATATATAAATAAATCCCCAGTTTTTTTAAATATATTGATGGCCCCAAGTCTGAGCAGTCATTAAACAGGTTGGTCATTAAGTGAGGAATGGCTGTATGTCAATTTTGTTTTTATATATATTGTGTTATAACTGTAATGATTGATTAACAGTTTCATTATCTTGTTTTTATCTAAGGGTTGAAATTAATGCAATACTTTTATTGTCATTAAATGGTGATGTAATAAAGAAAACAAATTTAATGAGCAATTATTTATTGTGACATCATCACAAAGCCAGGCTGCAATTATTAATCTAATATTAATTTGAAGTGTAGAGCATATATTTTTATTTAAAACTAGCTGCAAGGACCCGCTTCACTGTGTTTTTATTTGTATGTAATATAGTTTTTTTTTATATATAAAAGACTGTTTTTCNTTTTTTAATAAAGCCTTGCCTTTATTTATATAATTGATTTTAAAGAAAACAACAGTATAATTTGTCAGTTCCTGACAGACAACTAATTTTATTTAATTAATAGGGTAATTGTACCCATTGCACTATCATTTGTAATAATTCCAGTTTTTAAACTGTTCTTATTATAATACTTTAGATATTTATTGTGTTTAATGCTGTATGTCTAACCTTTTGAAATTTAATGTGTAACTATTATTCTGATATAACAAATTTTTTTATCTTTAGAATAAAATATTCCACACATATTATACAATTTAATGTAAAATGGCATTTAAAAGCCAGCTTTAGCATAAATTAAATTGTTTTTTTATTCTAAAGTTTGACTATTCTCAAGACAAATTTTTGTTTAAAAACATCATTTTGTGGCAATACAGAAGGATGTATTTAAACAATTTTTTGTATTGAGGCAAAGAAGAACCTCTAAATTAAAGTCAACTCCACTAAATGACTTTTGTTGTTCCTGTGGTGCAAGAAGGGTAAAATGTAAAGATTCTGAATATTTTAGCATTTCTTCTACTTGCTATTTTAGTATGAATTTATCATCCTTAATTCTATTTTTATTAATTACATTAATTGAAACATATTTTATTATAATATAAATAATTGTTCTAACTATTTATACATTATGTTTCTCAAAAATTAAAATATTTTTCAAAGATTATAAAAAATTACCTTTTAAAATTTTCTGTTTTTCCCCATCCTTTTGTAAAAAATTTTGTTAGTAATATTCTTCTATAGACTGTATCTAATTTACTTGTTGAAGACATTTTATTTTAATACTCTAGAATAGAAAACAAAGTATTTATATAACTTCAGTTAACTATAAATAATTTTCAGTATTTATTTCAAAATATTTAATTGCATAAATCTATTTCAGTATTTAAATGAAAACCAGACAGATTGAATAAAATAGAAATAATTTGCCTTTTGATAATAGTTGTTGATTGTGAGACTAATATTAAACAATACATGGTTATGTCAAATTTATTGGTTAGAATCAGAACCAATCTTGAACACACTCTCTCATATCTGCATCAGATGAGATAGCATACTTTTCAAATACTTTTTCAACTGGTCCAAAGACAATCAAATCATATGATGATAAATGTGGAGAGTACATTAGATGATACTTTATTTCCCAACAAAATTTATTTGGTGTAATATCCTATTCATACCAAAAAGTTTAAGTAGACTTAATACAGTACTTAGCAGGATTAAGTTAAGGCATATTATGCAAATCAAGATCAACTATTCGTTCATGCTACAAAATTAAAACTAATTATTTAGGAATGTTCATAAACCATGTAGCTCAATATTTTGCAAAATTTTGATCTCTTCTGTCCTGGTAACTCTTTATGGCTAGACAAATGATCCTTAACCCTAAAACCAAATAATCTAGGGAAGCTGGACCTCCAAATACTTTTATTTTAAAATTTAAACACCAGGTCATTTTTTCCAAATAGTTTTTCCTATTTAAATATATTGCCAGATCTTTTAACTTTTAGAATTCACATTATACAAAATAACATAAAACATATAACTATTCTATGTCACTACTCTGGCCAAATTATGGCTCACAAGCTTCCATATACAATTTCTTTTAATAAATTTGGTACAGGTTACTTACACATATGTAATATTTTTGTAAGTATACTGATTATTATGAAGTGTGAGTTATGCATAGATTATAAGTGTAATTCACAACTTAACCCTAAACAGGCAACTGAAAGTTAAGGATACATTTGTAAAGTCAAAGGAACTGAACAATGTTTATCTAGCAGATCATAAAGTAACAGAGATATTTACCACAAAACAGAGATATTCAACTTTAGTATTTTAATTGGATGTAATACAAAATACTATTCCAATAGAAATGTAGATCTCACTTATTTCTGGTAAGGGATTTATGGCTGTTGTTATAAGGTTTGGTTACCCCTGTTATATGTCCTTCTATATTACTTTTTTATAATAATGAATAAAATAAAATAAATTATAATTGTACAATTACATAGACTTGTGCTGTTATCAGATCATTGGTTTTCAATCAATATTGCGAATTCATTGTCCCTTTTGCTCAACATTGCTTCTATTAATAGTTTTCCTGATGCTGTGATCCTCCACAAATTTGATATCCTACAATAAGAAGTAAATTTCTTTCTTGGAACAATTTTCCATATATAATTCTTTTCATTCATACTAGATAATCTATTTTCACCATATTTTGAATATAAGTAGAAGTAAGGTTTATAAATGTTTTGAATGTAAGTAGAAATGTATTAGTTAATTGTTTGCTACTCGTCAATACTATTAATTGGTTCCTGTACTGATTAATTGTTAAGTGGCAGTTAACTCTCCAATGATTACAATAATCAGTAAATAATCATTCCATTGGAAAAACAATTTATTATTTTTTAAATTACAATTATTAAACATTAAACATTATGTTTAATTAAAGAAATAACTTTATATAATTCAGAATAATATGGAAAAACATCTAGATCTGTTAGAAACCATTAGCTTTTTGTAGTTTTAAATTTTTATTCAAACTGAAAATGTTCTATTACAGCATTACTAAATTTTTAGAAATATTGTAGTATATATATATAAAAGGAATAACCTTCAATCTCATTCATAGCAAATTATCACACAAAATCAGTTAACTTTCAATGCATCTGCCTATTTTCAAAAGAAATTTTTCAACAAGTAGATTATGAAATAATTTGCAATGTAATATTATTATTTTGTTAATTATATTGCACACTTGAAAGAATTATGATGTATGGAAGTAAGTCAATTAGTTTATCAATTAATAATGGAAAAATGTAACTACCCAGAAATATTAAAATCATTGCACTTATTTACTCAAAATGGTATCAGTATAGAATCATCAAGTATATAATCCATATTTTACATTAAACAAGATAATGTTTTGTTATCTTGCTTGAATCAATGTCAAGAAACTTAGATAAAAATAATTTACTGTGATAATTTTGATTATACCAAGTTATTAAAAAATTATGTTATTCAAATGAAATTGTCCAGTGTTTAGTTTGATCTCTCAATTGTACACCAGACAAGACCTGTAGAACCAGACAGTTTGGTTCAAAACTGGACTGTTGGAAACTACCTATTACAGATATATTAGGTTATTATATTGATCACCTGAGAACAAGAACCTGCCAGAGACATTAAGGGAGAGAGGAAGAGAGTACATATAGCACCCAAGCATTTTTAATTTAAGAACCCTGTCTAGCTGATAAACATAGCTGTCATTTATAATGCCAGTTGCATCAGTTTTAAGTAAATTAAATAACCAACCATGCAGTTCTTACCATCTTGCATTTCAAGCAAGCAAGCCTTGTACTATGAAATGTGGACAAGTTGCTAAGAGACCCTAATTTCCTTTATTATGAGAATATAAAATCATACTAATTCCTTTTTTTGTTACAGCAGCATGATTAAATTGTGCACCTGCTAGTATACTGAATAAATCAATAAAGTGGAATAAAGGAAAAAGGAAAAAAAAACCAACAAAACAAAGCATTTCTCTCCATTGTATATAAATTGAAATCCGACTACTTAAATTAATTAGTAGTAATCCACTTAATCAAGGATGATTTATGTAAATTTATTTTTCAGTATTTTCAAACAACTTTAAAATGGAAATAAATAATAATATAAACATTTATATATTTAATTGATAGATAAAGAAAAATTATTGTTGTAAAAAAGTTAAAACTAAAAAAAGCTGTATATAAAATTTTATTAAATTTTAGTTTATAAAGATATTTTTAAAAATACTTGACAATAATTAGTTAACAATTAGTTGTATGATTAGATGTATACAATCCCAATTAATGATTAATTAATTGGCAAACATGATAATCATCCCATCCTTAAATATAAACTTCTCCAGGTCCACTCTTAAGCAGACCTCAAAGAAAGCTGATGATGTCAAACTGTCTGAAGTTTGTTTGGAAAAATGAATTTTACTCATTCACTTTTTTGAATTTAAGTCAAAACTTACAGTGTTGTTAAGCTGATTTTGTTCTTGGCTTGAAGTGTACAGTACAATGTGAATAGGGTATAACTTTCATTATGATTACTACAAACTGCCAAGCAATAATAAGAAACAGAATAATTCTGTATAAATAGTTACTTCAGAGATGATATATTAGTAATCAGAATCAAGAAATGTATACACTAATTAAGTAAACCATAGACAAGGTTTCTGGTAGTATGCATGCGTGCATATTATGCTTAACAATTCAGAATCAATCATGAAAATTTTGATTCTGTATGGAACATGTCCCCACCAGTTTTGTCTATTTCTCATCTTCCCTCCTAAGTACAAGTTTCAAACTTCATTTATAATAAATGCTAGCAAGCCTACAGAACAATCAAGTTGCTAATACATACCTGATACAGTCTATATTAAATTCATTTTATGCTGTAAAATGAATTGTATTTGTTTTTATTAGAGTTAAATATTACTTTTACTTAGCATCCTGAAAAATTTCAATATGTATACCTTCATCTGTCTAATTCTGAGTGAGGATTCTGCAACATCAACTAAGTTCAAATCCATTTTGAAATGAACTTCCACACTTAAATTAATTAGAAAAAAAAAACATTTTTTAAAAATTCAAATCACAAAAACTTTCCTTTCAGGTTTTCTCCATCAAAATCAAATCAGAACAACCTAAAGATTCCAGAACAAAAGAAAAAAACAACATTTTTCAAATTAGTTAAATATGATTTTTTTAACATCTCATACAAAATATTCCAATTCTATGGTTTGCTTCACTTGCTCACTTGCTTCACTTGCACTGAGCAAGTGAAGCAAATGGCCCACTTGGGTCCAATATAGACTATTGAACCCAAGTGACCATTATAGACCAATATAGACTATCTGCAATAAAAAATTTTGTGGCAATTCAATTGCCTACAAGGATACAACTTGAACTTACTTTGCACCCTTCATTTTGCTTCCTTTGCTGTACCTCTTGCAGGCTGGATTGTACATCCCTCCCACCCCATTTGCTTTGCTCCTTTGTTCAAAAATTTTAATGAGAATTCGCCAATTTCCATTGCTACCATTTCTATTTTTTTCGTGACAAAAAAAGCATCAGGACAATTTTAAGATTATTATTTTATATAGGTGCTATCCATAAATGACGTCCACACTGGAAAGGAGGAAAGGGGTTAAGACAAGTCAGACAAAAGTTGAATGAGGGGAGGGGTCAAGCTTCAGTGGACTCTGTTTATTTTAAGTTTTATACAGTTTATGCATTTTGTTATATTAATATTTATTTCAAAAATTTCTTATAAGTTTCATTTATGAATAACAGATAGCATAGATAGAAAGGTGATAAAGGTTTTAAAAGGTTGAGTTTTGTTGCATGTCTGAAGAGGGGATGTGGTTACGGAAACTTGGAGAAACTGGGACAAGAGGGGGAGGAGGAGCAAAAATTTCAAGAAAAATGCAGATGTAATTTATAGACTGCCCCATATAGAGAGTAGATTAAAATTAATTACTAAGGCAGAAGAATTTTTATAGATTTTACTACCTATAAAAAGTTTTATTTTGGTAAATATAAAAATTTCTTACCAATCAGATAAAGAGATCAAAATAATATTTAAAACAGCAAAATTGGAGTCTTGACACTTGGAAATGAGTTTCATAAAAGTTTAATGATATAAAAATCTCAAGTACAGTAATTGTTTATAAATAATTAATGATTAAAAATTATAAAGATTACAATAAAGTTAATTAGTTAACATTGTGAGAATTTTATGACTCACACAAATCAAATAGATAAATAATAAAAACTATATGCATATAAAAAATGCATGTTCTAGATAAATTGTAAACATCTCACAATGTTATTCTGAAATTGAATACATATCTAGGAATTTCAAAATGTTTATAAATAAAATTTTAACTTCTTCGAACTAACACTTTATGTTTACATATTACAGTAAAATACAAATTAATTAGCATATAACTAAAAACTTTAAAATTTTAAAATTTGATCTATAACATTAAAATTTTTGCATATTTTAATACAAAAATGTTTATGATATATATCCATATTATTCTTAGATGCAATAATTAATAACAATTCTAATAAGTTGAATTTTAATCATCTAGAAAAGTTAAAAAATAACTAAATATAACATCTAAAATTTAAAAATTTCCTTACCTAAATTTATAAATACTTGAAAATTATGGATTAGAATATCCCGATGTTATGTTTTAATTCACATATTTTGTATTTTACAAATAAAATTTTAAGTTACAGCATTATTCAGCAATATTCAACAAAAACTTCATAATCCTAAGTAAATAAATAAATAAATATAAAATTTACAAAAACTTTTTAATGAATATATAAATAAATTAAATTGACTTAAAAATATCAAATAAATAAATTAAGAAATTATTAATATGAAACCCTCAATTACTCTTGCAGAAAATTAAGATATTTTTTATAAATCAACTAAAAATAAAACATTTACATTTTTTACTCTAAGAATCAATTATTCAAATTAAATATATTTAATAAATTTCACTTTTTAAAGTTTCCATTATTTTATCATTCTTCACATCAATTTTCATTTTATTTCATATATAAATAAATAAATAAAAGTATTTTTATAATTTATTAAAATTATTTAGAATAAAATGCAATGAATAATGCTGAAATTTAGCCTTAGTGTTTAATAACTATTAGGTAATAAAGAACGGTACTTTTCCATTAACTGGGCGCCAGTCATTTTTACTATTGTTTTTAGCGAAATCAATATTTTATTTTGTAATTCACACATTTAATATTACAATGAATATGTTTATACACATATTCATTGTAATATTAAACATGTGTACAAACATATTCATTGTAATTGAATTGAATTGTGCCCAATTAATGGAAAAGTACCTAAAGAACAAAGCAATGCATAGTACTGTATAAAATTATAATATCGGGTAGTATATTTTACAATAGAGTTTTATATTTATAAATTGAGTTTAAAAATTTCATCATAGTTAAAAACAAAAAAAGAAATAAAAAAAATGAAAGCTTTTTTAAAAAAATAAAATGTTACACACCATAAATTACTATTTTAAAAAGTTTTCTTTAAATAATTGATGTAAATATTTAATTCTAGAATATTTAATTTAAATAAAATTTGAAAATTATTGAAAAAAAAAAGGGAAAAATATTTTGCTAACAATATAATTTGAATTAAAGGATTAATAAACTTTAACAGTTTTAAAATATTATTATTATAAATAAAAATATTTTTAAAAATGATATTTAATTTAATTTATATAAAACCATTTAATACAATTAAACTTGTAAGAAAAACTAATGTATTACATTCAAATCTACCAATAATTAAACTTCTAACAAAAATTAATCTATTACATTCAAATCTACCAATAATTAAACTTCTAACAAAAATTAATCTATTACATGCAAATCTACCAATAATTAAACTTCTAACAAAAATTAATCTATTACATTCAAATCTACCAATAATTTTCCTTTTTTCCTAACATTTTTTTTTCTTTATATACAGTAAATAAGCTTTCTGCTATTCTTTCTAGGAAAGAAAACTATAAAATATTAATTTAAATATTTTAAAGTAAATGTTTCCTTGTTTTTTCTATTAGATTAAATATCACAACTAATAGAAATTTCAAATACTTTATCAGTAATACATTAGATAATAAGAATTTGCACTCAAAATATCAATTACATTGTATAAATTTTTAATAAATTAATTTTTTTCCCAAATAATTGCATGAAATAGATGTAAACAAAGTCAACTCTCATAAGGTACAATGGTTTCAAGCTGCGTGCCAATTTTAAAAACAAATGGTTATAAATTGTATCAAATAGAAGATTAAAACGTTAAAAATTACTGCCAAAATTACATAAATTTAATTTTTTCATTAATATTTTTTTCTAACCCATCCAAATTTTAAATTGTTTCGGTTATTTCGGGAAGGTAAATTGTAGGAAATTCGTTCAATTTTCGAGCCTTTATTAGATAAATGATTTACGCGTAGAAGCATAAATAATTTTATAACGAATGCATTAATTTATTTATTAAAAAATTAGTAAAATTAAACTTACTTTTATGTAATGACTTCGACATTTTTTAATTCTTCTCCGAAACACCACATCGTCGTGTGCTATAAATATTTAGAAGATGGCGACACTCGTCTGTAAACATGTGCTGAATGGCACGTCGTCCTCTAGACTTTTTCCTTTCTTTTCTCGATCGTTCTTATATCTTTCGACTTATAATGTTATTGTGAGTAAATTGAATATATAAATATGTTTATATATTTGTTTAATT